ATAGAAGAAGAACAGACAGATGAGACAGATAGATAGATAGATAAGAACAGAGCGAGATAGATAGATAGATAGATAGATAAGAACAGATAGATAGATAGATAGATAGATAGAGCGAGATAGATAGATAGATAGATAGATAGATAGAAAGATAAGAACAGAGCGAGATAGATAGATAGATAGATAGATAAGAATATAGATAGATAGATAGAGATAGATAGATAGATAGATAAGAACAACAGAGATAGATAGATAGATAGATAAGAATAGAGCGAGAGATAGATAGATAAGAAGATAGATAGATAGATAGATGGAACAGAGCGAGATAGATAGATAGATAGATAAGAACAGAGCGAGATAGATAGATAAAGATAGATAGATGGAGAGCGAGATAGATAGATAGATAGATGATAAAACAGAGCGAGATAGATGAAAAGATAGATAGATAGACAGAGATGAGATAGATAGATAGATGGATAGATAGATAAGAAGATAGATAGAGAAGATAAATAGATAGATAGATAAATAGCGAGATAGATAGATAGATAGATAAGAACAGAGCGAGATAGATAGATAGAGATAAGAAGAGCGAGATTAGATAGATAGATAGATAGATAGATAGATAGATAGATAGATAGATAAGAAAAGTTAGAGATGAGATAGATAGAGATAGATAGATAGATGATAGAAGAAGACAGAGCGAGATAGATAGATAGATAGATAGATATTAGATAGATAGATGAAACAGAGAGATAGATAGATAGATAGATGATAAGAACAGAGATAGATAGATAGAAGATAGATAGATAGATAGATAGAAACAGAACGATAGATAGATAGATAGATAGATAGATAAGAACAGAGCGAGATAGATAGATAGATAGATAGATAGATAGATAACAGAGTTGGAGATGGATGGATATATAGATAAGAACAGAGCGAGATAGATAGATAGATAGATAAGAACAGAGCGAGATAGATAGATAGATAGATAGATAGAAAGAACAGATAGGAGATAGATAGATAGATGGAGATAGAGATAGATAGATAAGAACAGAGCGAGATAGATAGATAGATAGATAGATAGATAGATAGATAGATAGATAAGAACAGAGCGGAGATAGATAGATAGATAGATAACAGATAGATAGAGATAGATAGATAGATAGATAGATAGAGATAGATAGATAGACAATAGAGCGAGATAGATAGATAGATAGATAAGAACAGAGCGGGATAGATAGATAGATAGATAAGAACAGAGAGATAGATAGATAGATAGAGATAGATAGATAGAGAGACAGAGATAAATGAACATAGATAGATAGATGGAAGATAGATGAGATAGAGATTAGATAGGAGTTAGAGATAGATAGATAGATAGAGAAATAGAGCGAGATTAGATTAGATAGATAGAGATAAGAACAGAGATGAGATAGATAGATAAGAACAGGATAGAGGATAGATAAGAACAGATGAGATAGATAGATAGATAGATAGATAAGAACAGAGCGAGATAGATAGATAGATAGATAGATAAGAACAGAGCGAGATAGATAGATAGATAGATAGATAGATAGATAAGAACAGAGCGAGATAGATAGATAGATAGATAGATAGATAGATAGATAAGAACAGAGCGAGATAGATAGATAGATAGATAGATAGATAAGAACAGAGCGAGATAGATAGATAGATAGATAGATAGATAGATAGATGAATAGACAGATAGATAGATAGATAGATAGATAGATAGATAGATAGATGAGAACAGAGCGAGATAGATAGATATAGATAAGAAACAGAGCGAGATAGATAGATAGATAGATAGATAGATAGATAGATAGATAGATAGATAGATAAGAATAGATAGATAGATAGATAGAAGAATAGAGCGAGATAGATAGATAGATAGATAAGAACAGAGCGCGAGATAGATAGATAGATAGATAAGAAGAAGAGCGAGATAGATAGATAGATAGATAGACAGAGAAGAGCGAGAGATAGATAGATAGATAAGAACAGAGCGAGATAGATAGATAGATAGAAAGATAGATAGATAACAAGAACAGAGATAGATAGATAGATAGATAGATGGAGAACAGAGCGAGATAGATAGATAGATAGATAGATAGATAAGAACAGAGCGAGATTAGATAGATAGATAGATAGATAGATAGATAGATAGATAGATAAGAACAGAGCGAGATTAGATAGATAGATAGATAGATAAGAACAGAGCGAGATAGATAGATAGATAGATAAGAACAGAGCGAGATAGATAGATAGATAGATAAGAACAGAGCGAGATAGATAGATAGATAGATAGATAGATAGATAGATAGATAGATAGATAAGAACAGAGCGAGATAGATAGATAGATAGATAGATAGATAGATAGATAGAGAACAGAGATAAGAACATAGAGAGATAGACAGAATAGATAGATAGATAGAGATAGAGATAGATAGATAAGATAGATAGATAGATAGATAGATAGATAAGAACAGAGCGAGATAGATAGATAGATAGATAGAAACAGAGAGAGATAGAT